AATATGAAGTAATTCTTTCCAGAAATATGTTCAAAAGTAACATCTAAATTAATTAAAATTTAACCCAATCTTTCTTCCCTTGTATTAGTTATTATATATTGCTATTTATCCGTCTCTGTGGCAAAAGTATTAGTATACTTGAAGATTGTTAATTTTAAACCATTTCTTGATTTCATACTAAATTCAAGAGAGGTCACATCTTCACTATGTATGAAAGATGCATTTTACGGATGTGATTCTTATGTTAATATATTGATCTCCCCAAATAATCAATCCTTGAGCTGCAAGTCAACAATTCAAGGGTTTAATTTTAAGAAGGCAGTCCATGACATTCACCATGGAAAGGTAGCTTTGTTCTGCTCTCATATGAAGTAACACTCCTCAGTCATTGTCACTGCCAACCAAAATGTCAGTGTGGCAGCTGTCCATGGGATAGACGCAGCCTGACTCTGTTGGTTCCCCAAAGACAGATAATTTCAGCAGCGAAGTGGTTAATTTGGGCTGTCAGAACGATTTAGAATTAAAACCATTTCTTTCTGCCCACTGTAAGCATTCAGAGCAGCAGGGCTCCAAACACACTAGCAAATCCTAACAGGTCAGCTCTTCTCTGTCTTCTTTCTGCTGCTCGCACATTGCACATTTGTATCATTTTAAGTACAACAAGCTAGTTTGAACGTTTTCTAATCAGAAGATGCGCATGTATTACAGCTGTCAGTGGTTAATATTAATATTTTGCTGTTGGATATTAGCATATATCCTAAACTTTGGCCCTACACACAGTACATGCTATTACTACTGTTGGTTGTCAGCAGAACCAAGCCTACATCCCCTTTTTTCTTTTATAACCATAAAGTATATCATGGAAGTTGTAAAGGAAACCTCAGGTGACTTCACTTGTTTTGCATAGAAAGACTAAAAGAACTGAGAATAGGGTCTCTCAGGCTCTTCAGAAAGTGAGTCAGTCAACATTTCAGATCTTTGTGTCTTAGGCAGCAAGACATTGGAAGATTGAAAAAATATTAAGTAAGCAGCTGGAGACCAGCAGTATCCATTATCATCACATAAATTATTGAACTACAACAATTTTTCTAATCAATGATTCTTATCGTGAGTGAGTTCCAATGAATCCTTGGAGTAAGCAGTCAAGTCTGTGTGGAATCCACAATGATGATAAGAAAATGAAAGAAATAGAAAAAATTGTAAATTTATTTGATAATACCAGATGTGTATTTTTTACTACTTTGCATAGATAAGTCTGATAAAATGCCTTTTATCCCAGCCTTTCTTATGAGGGTATGTGAAAGAATTGAATACATAGTTTGTACAGAAACCACAGAACACATTCTACAACTCGTGTCTTATACATTCTTTGGACTCAAATTTGGTTGAGGCGAACTTTTTTCCTACTATTTCATTTTTGAAATAAGAGTACAGTAAATGAAATCTCATTTAAAAGAAAACCTTTCAGGACTAGAATTCATGTTTAAAATGAGATAAACCTTTATGTAAAGTAGACAAATCAATGAAGTGATGATTTGGTTATTTGCACCATGAGAAGAGATGGGTTTACCTGCACTTATATTTTATTCATGTATAAATATTCAGTAATCATTTATAGAAGAGTCTCAACTTATTTACAATTTATGCTTTTAAATGTTTGCATTCATAAGGTTGCTCTGAGAATATTTAATAAATATTTGTGGTATCTATAAACCATTTCTATGTGACTGAATGAAGGACACATAGTGACAGAGCATTGTATCTGATGGGTATGAGCGCATGCCAGGACACTTGGAGTTTGCCTTCGGTTGGCCATGTTCTGTTTGAAGTAGACAGTATTTTGGCTCAGTTCTGAAGCATATTGATATCTAAAGGATAAAGTAGCTTATATATTTTTATTTTATAGTGTTCATCACATAGTAAGTACTTAAGCCACCCTAAATTAAGATAATGATCAATTTCTTTTAATTTTTTAAGGCTGTGCAAATGTATTGTTTGGATTAGGATGCATTTTAGGCATTTAGCAAAGGTTTTCCTGAGAAAGTACAAATAACAAATCTTTAGTTTTGAAAATCACTAGGAAAAATAAATTTAGGTAGCTGATATATTTATAATGACCTGTATATTCAAAGTGACATTGCATAATAAAGTTAACATTTTTACAGCTCTTGTGATGTATTTTAATAATGTAAAGAGAACTATAAATAATTACATACTTTCTGTTGCTGGACATAGCAAGAGTACTATATCTTTTTGATTCATGAAAATGGGTCTGCACACAACCCCATCAGTACCATATCTCAGCAGGTTGAAAATCAAAATATGATTTCAATTATTGTACAATACTTCCCTAATTTATACTCTTTCCAAAACCTCTACAATTTGTGAGCTGAAGTTGATGTCTTACCCTACTTTCACCGGTATGTCAGGACCTGTGCACCCCCTGAGAACTGGCAGCACCTTTTCCCTTCATGTCTCTCTTGCAAACCAGGTACATGATATGCTACCTGCCCCTACTAAACTCCTGCATCCAATCAAATAAAACAGCACACACACTCTGTGCGTGTCTTCGATTCTAAGTTGTAACTTCTTTCTTGAAAGTATCTTAACAGCCAGACAAGACAGGGATCTTCTGAGAAGCATAGCCAAAGGGAAAGATGGCAATCCTTTAGGGTCCCCTGTTGCATTTAGAATGAAATCCAAACAATTTCCATCCATCAAACATTGAGTGATTCTATCTATCCTCGTCTGTCCTATTTCTGCACAGATCACACTAGTGACATCGACTGACGCCAGTCCATTGCAAAAAGACCACGGGGCTTTGCCATGGTCAAATTATTTTGCCTGAAATGGCTTTCTCTGCACATATGACACATCTAATGCCTTCTTTTCTGGTAGGCTTTGGTTTACATGTCAGCAACTTGTGAGCAAGACAGCCGGTCTATTCTGGCAATAACACATATACATCTACAGATGTGTATTTCTGTCTGTGTTCCCCTGCATTGTCTTTCTTAACCCCTTGCTTGGTTCCTTCCTTGGCTTTTACCAACCAACAATTACCATTTCTCTGGAGACTTGGTTTTATTTGTCTCCCCCCATTAGGACATAGCTCTATGATGACAGGAAATGGCTTTGTGTGAGTCTTGTTCACCAGTGTTTCTCCAATTTCAAGAGCAGTCCATAGACTCCTTTCAGTGCCTCAAATACTTGTTAAGTACACACATAATGCTTAACAGAGATACGTAGGCTGGAGAAGTACAGTCCTAAGCTACGTGATGCTAAATAGACTTGAATTTTAATTCTGATGTTAGTATAACTAAGAATGAGACCCGAGCTCTCTGTCTTTGCCTCAGTTTCCACATCTATAGAAAGAGGCAAACTAATAGTGGGACCATGTTTTTCAGAGTGCCTTTGTGAGTATGAATTGAGATGACGGATGAGGGACACATTAAAATTTCTAATCCTTACACCAATGCAAGCTTGTGTTCCAAGTTCATCTAAAATAAATAAGGAATCAATTTGTATACACTAAGAGCACTTGAAAAAGTTTTAGCATATTTTGTGTACAGGAAAGTTGACCATCCATTATCTCACAGCAAAAGCAGAGAGTGTTTAAAGAAGGAGAAAGCAAGAAGGTAGGAAGACTGTTGTAAGCATTTGAAGCGCTCCAGTTACATTTTAAGGCCCCATAATGTAGAGAAGCTTGTGCACCAAGAGGGTTTATAGGAGTAGAACATACAACAGAACCTGAAACAGGGAAAGAGACTGTCTCCTCTGAAATAAGGGGAGAAAGGGGAAACAAAGCAATCCTAGTAACCTAAGATTTCTAGTCTCTTCTTTCTTTCCATTCCGTCCAATTCTTCCATACACCATGGCTAATTAATTAGTTTTTTTGTAGTTTAGCCCTTCCCCATCTCCCCACAGATGGGCACAGGGTGGGGATGGCAGAGGGATTGATGGGTCCCTAGAATTCAGCATTGCAACGCGTGTGCACGGGGAGCTTGCTGCTCCACAATGATGTCGCCTCAGAGTCGCTTTATTTGTTTATCAACGAGCGTCTCTGCGTCCCCGAGATGTAGGTCATCACAAATACCAGCAGAGGATGGCAGGTTCCTTGATGGTACTGCACTCGCAGACCGGGAGCTGCGGGCTCCTGCACCGCGGGGGAGAGGGGACACCTGCGCCTGGGGACACCTGTGCCTGGGGACACCTGCGCCTGGGGACACCTGCGCCTGGGGACACCTGTGACTGGGGACACCTGCGCCTGGGCACACCTGTGACTGGGGACACCTGCGCCCGGGGACACCTGCGCCCGGGGACACCTGCGCCTGGGGACACCTGTGCCCGGGGACACCTGCGCCTGGGGACACCTGCGCCTGGGGACACCTGCGCCTTGGGACGCAGGTGAGGCCCATCCACCTCTTGAGACTTTGCCCGGCGCTTTCCCAACCCCCGGCCGTCTTGGACCAGAATCCCTTGATTACCTGGTGTTACCTGGAGCTTTTCCCGCTCTCTCTCCGTCCCCAGCCCACCTCTGCAGACCGCAGCAGGGCTGTCCAGCTCTGGGCCTGCGGAACAACGGAGAAGCAAGAAGACAGAACCTGCACCTTCGCTCCCCTCCCCGCAGCAGCCTCCTCCTGCCACTCAGACGGCCCGACGGCAGTTCGGCCCAATGACAGCGGCGCCTCCGCGTACGCCCCGCCCCCCGAGACAGGCACACCAATCAGCGTGCGGCGAGGGCGGGCCTTGCCGCCCTGGTTAAGGCCGCTGGTGGGAGCCGGGCTCCGCGCGCGCGGAGAGGACGGCTGCGCGGCCGGCAGGTGCGGGCGCGGGGCGCAGCCCGACGGCGGGGCGGGTCGGGGCGCTCGGGCCGGGCCGGGCCGGGCCGGGCCGGTGACGACGCCGGGGCCCCTCCCGAGGCGGGGGCGCAGCGGCCGAGCCCGCGGCGATCGAGCGCGCGGAGCCTCGCGCCTGGCCAGGGACGGTCCCGCGTCCGCGCGATGGAAGAGGAGAAATACCTGCCCGAGCTGATGGCCGAGAAGGACAGCCTGGACCCGTCCTTTGTGCACGCCTCGCGCCTGCTGGCCGAAGGTAGGACGGCGTCGCGACGGGCGGGACGCTGGGGGGACGCGGCCGTCTCCGGGCTGTCCCCACCACTGTCCCCAACCCTGTCCCCGCGGCCCGGGAGCACCGCGCGGTGACCTGTAGCTCCTGGACCGGCACCTTGCAGGGCACGGGCATCTCTGTGGGTCCGAGCTCCCACCCCAGCTGCACACCAGGTTTTGTACGTTTTTTTTTTCTTCCTGCGTTTGGGAAGTGGTTGTGATGCGCTCTCATCAAAGCCTTTCCCAGGGAAAGTCTGGGATCATCCGGGAGACACCGTGCATGCCGGGTGTGTATGGAAGGCTGCACTTGCAAGGTTCATCTCCACGGTGCTGCCTGGGTCCCTGGGGCTCTCCATCATCGATCCACTGTTCCACGCAGTGTGCTTTCGTGCATTTGCTGTCGCGCACCCGTAATGTTAGAGGAGATTCCGCTCCCAGGGGAGCCTAGGTCTTCACTTTTGCAGTGCTTTGAAAGGTGGATTTTAAAAAAGGCACACAAGTGCACTAACACACGAACTTCAGAATGGCAGAAATATCCCCCCAAATTATTCCACTTATGTTGCAATAGGGCTATCTACTGAAGACACCAACGGTATCGATAGTAGTCTGCACTCTCTTTTTTTGTAACAAATGCAGGGATTTTTTGCATGAACGCTTTCTTGATAGTGAATCGATTCATTATCAAATTGGCCACAGTGCAGTTTTGAGCCTTGGGTTGTTACGGATGTACCTGAAACACCAGAAGTCACTTGTACTCCAGGTCTTTAGCACTAAAATAATTTTTTGAGATGTAGCTGTACATGGAAGATAAATTCTACCCTTCATTTATGATTCATATACACATCAGATTTATTTTGATATTTTATTGATGAATTGTTATTTATAATAACAAAATGTTCTTATGATAAATGTGTAGGAAGAGATTTAGAATTAGGGTATGAAACATATCAAATAACTACACTGTTTTCAAGGAAAAGGCTGATTTTATAGAATAATTGGGGAGTAAAATACAATTATGCTTGCTACTCTTTTGATTACCAAATGAAGAAAATAGAAAGGAAAGTGAAATTAAACAATCAAACTCTTCCTCTACTTTTTTAAAAAGACAACTGCCTGAAAATAATACGAATAATGAGTTAATAAACACTATTCTTCAAAAGATGAAAAACACGATTTAACTCAAATAGCTTACTTAAATACGTTCTCCAAAAGTGCTTCATTTCGTGTATAATGTCTTTAAAGTGAAAAAAAAAGTTGCGAATTGATCACTTCCTCTGACCTGCTAGAGTGAAGTTCTCTTTGGCTCAACGATGAGCTCATCAGTCATTAATGTGAATTATTGTTCTTCGAAGCTGCCAAACTAAGAGGTGCACATGAGACAGTCTTAACAGAGTGGAGTGCACAGACATTTCAGCAGCTGGTAAAACAGTTAAGAGAAAGCTCACACCTGGTTCCTTAACATTGTATCTTTACCACAAAGTTGATTTCTTGATACTGAGTAACATGCTCTGATGTCCCTTGTAATTTAATTTTTTCCCAGCAGGGGGAAGCATGTCCTGCTTTTGTAAAGAATTAGGAGAGAAAGCTCTTAAAGAGAAAAGCAAGCCTCTAAGAAACAAAGAGATTGCCCAGATTTCAGAGATGTCATAAATGAGGCAACAAGAATGTAGGTAGCAATGATCACAGTTACGTGAGCAAGGTTCAAATTACATCTCTAATTGTTCCTGGGGCACTTGACGTGCTTATTGAAGAATGTAAGTCAGGATTGTTTGGAATCTCAGTGAATCCTAATGGACACGTGACATTATAGATCTTTCATTATCTTTTCAAAGGCCATTTGCCAAGATTTCTAGGTTTGTTCCAGATCTCTATAGAAAAGTATTGTTGAGATGGTTTTTCTTCTAGATTTGGGAATACAGAGTGAAGGCTGTAGCTATAAATAAGTCTGACATAGATATTCATTTGAAGGAAGGTGTACACCAAAGTGCATTTCAGTCAGCACTGTGCAGACAGTGTCAAGACTGAGTGAGTAATAAAGATGATCAACATGCTTCAGTTCTTGCAATGATTTTCCAGAACCGAGTACATAGGAAAGCAGTGATATAACCGAGAGGCTTTCATCATGATTTATTTTGCTCTTTGATTGGTAATAGATGCATAACAGGGTTCAATTACAATTCCTTCATTTAGAATTGAAAGCTGTGGATCCGGGTTAGTTGGGGGTCTTGTTATTTTTTGTTGTATTTTGTTCTATTTCATTTGTTCCTGCTGTGTTTTTCCAGTGTGGATGATTCTGAGAAAGTATTGAAAAAATGCAAACATCCTTTGCCTTTGTTACTGAGAAGATATTTTATATAGCATGGCATGAAGAGTGCTTGATTGATTAAAATAATTTCCCTCCTGTGACTATCATGTTATTTGGTTATCCATGTTATGGAAGGTGGTTTAGGATATGATAAAGCAGCAAACTCAGCACCGTTCTTAAAGTTCTGCTTAGCTTCTGAGCTGGCTTGCAGATGAAATTACATGAGGTTATTTATATCTGTGCTCACTCTGGGAAATGCATTAAACGTGAACCCAGATACCTGGATTTTAGTTCCACTTTTACCGAGAGTGAATTTTGTAAGCATTCCTTTCCCTGGGCCCAGCTTTCTTGTCTCTCAAATTAAAGAGATGGATAGAGGTGATCACATTTTTCTGTGCAGCTCTAGCGAGGTCCCAGGCTACTCTGATGCCGAGTATGAAGAACATAAAAGTCAGTGACAGCACATTCTTGAAACTTTCCTCCTTCCTTCTTATCTTAATGATTGATACGATATTTATTGTGCTATAATGTAATTTGAGGTATATACATTGTTTTGGACACTAGAGACCATAAGTCTATTGAGCTGTTATCAGTCCTTGGAGCCAAAAATGTATGTGCATTGGGGTATTCTTGTTTGCAGTTTAAGCATGGCTGCTGACAGACATAGATCTGTTCAGATTTATAGCTTCAATTGTGATGATTCCATGCTTTCAGGAGTTTTAATAAATTCTTGGCCAATTGAGAGTGTTTTGGGCAGGACTTCCTAGCCTGAGTTCTTCAGAAGCATTGGTACCTTCATTTCTGTCCAGGTTAACTTATGGTGTGGTGAAATCAAATCTTATTGCCAAATATTTCAACAGTGCAAGTTGCCTGTGAAATATCCTAGGTTCTGTTTTCAAATTTTGGTAAAAAGCTGCATCCAACATCTAGGACTGGCCTTCAATTTGCAGCAGTTTAGGAACTCTCAAAAAGACAAGGGCAAGAGAAATAAGATCCTTCACGTTAGTGATTTAACTACAGAAATTCTCAAAAGGGAGTATGTGACAATTTAGATTGTGTTCCTTAAATTTTGTCCGCAGTGACTAATAAGTTCTTAAGCTAGGGAAATTTACTGGTACTATGTCTAAAATCAGCTTCTGATAAAATAGAATTCACATGACTCTTAAAGTTGACTTTTGTCTTGATAAATGTAATATTTTTTTTCCTCTCACAAGATTCAGGATAATCTTATTTACATTTTTAAATGCAAAAAAGAATGGGTAAAAATGAAATTCCAGTTTTCTTTGATTTGTAATTAAAACAAATTTATGATACAATGAAAATTCTGTTTCTGTAAGCAAAACACATAGGATTGAGTATTGATAGTCTTACCTTCTGTGAAATATGGGATATATCACTTTTTTCTTCTGCGATACTCAGTTTTTTTCATCCGTAAAACAGGACATGTACTACTTATCAAGAAGGAATCTTTGAAGGTTAAAAAAATTCTGCTTGTGATAATATAAGCTGCATTCTGTGCAAATCTAAACAAAAGCATCAGTTTTATAAATACAAGATAATGCACACTTGATGCATTGTGAACTGGACTTCAATTTGAAGCTAGCTTTTGTAAGAAAATAAGGGAAATAAGCACTACCTTATTATTAGAATCATCGCTGAGTGAAAATTTAACTCATAAATCAAATTAAGAAACAAATTGTATTGTGAAAAATGATTCCAGTGAGGGTTCCCCAAGTCAGTGAGTTTGACTTGCACGGTCTTGGTTTTTTTGGGTGGTGGTTCCAGACCTCCTCAGATCCCCTCTTAAACCACATGTCCTTGACCCCAACACATCTCCCTAATGGAGAGAAATGTCCCCAATTTTCTAATGTTCCATGCCTTCCAAAGACTTACTGCCTTCCATTCCCAGAAGACTACTTGTTTCTTTCTTGTTCCAGATCAACCTGTTCACCTTCACCCGCGTTCTTGACACTAATGGCTCATCTTCTCTACCCGTTTTACCTTCCTCTCTGACCAGCCTCTCCTCCTCACCTCAATACACACAGGGCTTTCAGAGGGAATCTTTAAAATTAGAGTATGGCCACACCACGCTTCTTAATCACCCACATCCTCTGCAGAGCACAGGTCACACTCCTTGACTTTCTAAAGACATGCCAAGCTCTCCAGACTCATCTCTTCATCATTTCTGCCTAATTTTATCTCAGCTATAACACCTTGCTTTTAGTTAACTCTCTAAACCTCACACGCCACCCTTCACTCTTCACACAAAGCTGGATGTGTCTCTTGTTCTTCATCCCATAGTGCACTCCTCCAGATCAGTTGTCCTCACCTTCATTGAGTCACAATTGTCACGCTGTGCCTGACTTTCTCACTAGACTGTGAGTCCTGAGGAGCCAAGCCAAGTCTGAAACAATATGGCGTCAGTGGTGTTCCTCACAGGGCTTGGTATATGGTGGTGCTCAGTGGATACCTGAAGGGCTTTCCTCCCTCATACTCCAGACCCTGCCTCCTGCTGGCCTCCTCAGACATGACTGCCCTCAGCCTCCTCTTCAGGACCTGGCTGTGGAATGCCCCTTTCTCCCTGACTTTTCTCCCTGATTTTAACTTCTGCTCATTCAACAGTCTAGCTATGCCTTCTAGGAAGCCTTCGTACTGGTTTCCTCCTCTTATTCATTATGGAT